CTCCGCCTCGGGCGGCAAGGCAAGGGCGGTGCGCGGCAGGTGGCCGGGCCGAGCGTCCGCCCGCAGTGGGGAAGTGCTGCCCAGCTGCCAGCCTCCACTCCACAGCTCCCTGCCCTGCCTCTGGCAGCCCTCACCATCCTCCCTGTAACCACTCGTCTGCCATTTGAAGACCGCTGTCCAGCCCCACCGCGCGCGGCCTTCTCCTCCCCAGACTAGCCCGTCCCGGTTCTTCCAGGCTTTCCCCACAGGTTGTTTCCTAGACCTGTTGCGGATTCATGCCTGGCCATCGCATGCATCCTCTTGGCTCTCTCCCCAGTCACGAAGCGGTTCGTGGTGTGAGGCAGCGGTACGTGGCCTAGGGCAGTGGCGCTCAACTGGCAGCCTCTGCGCCAAATGCAGACGGTGGAGCCTTGGTATCTGGTCTGTGGGGCTCCCAAAGGTCAGGAAATTTGGTGCCAGGGACCAGTGGCAGTGAATTCTGCCACCCCACCCGGCTGCCAAAACCCCAAACCCATGCAGAGGATCAGAGCCAGGCCATGAACCTGCGTAGCCTAGATCAGGCCATGCACCCCTCTCCCCCATGGAGCTGGATTAGAGCTGGGTCATGCCCCGTCCCGCCATGGGGCCAGGTTAGAACTGGACCAAGTTCCCTTTCCCTTCCCCCATGCAGAGGCTGCCCCCCATCCCCATCCACACGGCTTCAGGAGTCCCTGCTGCACCTGTCCCAGTGCTGCATTGGGTCCACCAGCCAAGTTTGGGCGTGGACCAGGCACTGCCTATCCGTCCTGCTGTGGTCAAAAAGGTTGAGCATCAGTGTCCTAGGATTACTGCTTAGTGCATGACTTCTTGTGGCACTTGCTCCTTGTGGTGGGGTCAACCCTGTCATGTGGGTCTTGCTGTCAAAAATTGGCTTTGCTGTGTGTCTGGCTAGCGTGGAGATGTGACAAGAGTTCCCATTTCTAAGTTGTAGACCACATTTGCTAAAAGTAAGCCAGGGTCCACTAACTGACATGACAATGCTTAGGAGACCATGCCTGCTGAAATGCATAACTCTTGCTGCCTGTTGACCCCATTCTCCTCAGCACGTTGTTGGGTTGCCTGAGACCTTCTTTCACAGATGTGAAGCTATTGTAGCATTTTGATTCTACCTGGATGTGGTGGAATCTATTATTCTTGGCAATACTGCCTCTCCTTTTTCCGTCTCCTCCCACTTCCAGTGGAAAAAAAAATTTACAAGAAACCTCTACCACCTTTTTCTCATCTCTATCTTCTATGGTTTATATACAGACTGTCATAGAAAATGGCATATATTCATCCTACTAAGTCCTGGGAGGGGAGAAAGAGAGCTCCTTAGCAGCTAACTGGCTGACTAGCCACAGCTGGAGATAAGAGGCTGCAGCTCAGGTGGAAAGGGGTAGCTGCTAGA